AGTCACCATTTGAAGCATCTCTAACTGATCATTGTGGGTAACTGCCTTCCTATCAATAATTCTGAAAACCCAATTGCCCAAAAACCTGATTCCTCAGAGCTTGTTGATCTGAGACTAACATGGAGTTGCCAAAACTGTAAGGAGATTTTAAATCCCAACTGATCAAAGCACTTTTACTCCTCGAAAACGAATCAGAAACCGAAATTGTTTCATTAGAAACGGAAACTTTCCCTCCAGAAACATAGCTCCAAGACTCCATTACTAGAAGGAAAATCACAGTTTAAGAGATCACATACAAAACCTACTACAACGCTAGCAAGACAATTAGACCAACCGCCCTCAAAACTTGGTAGCCATATTTACAAATTTCAGAGAGCTTAAATAAGCTGAAACCCACTTAGACCAGCCTCCCTCAAAATTTGGTAGGCATATACACAAATCTCTGAAATCTCAAATATGCTGAAATCCACATACTATTAACCATTGTTAGAACTTGACAAGCACTGTACACATCTAAATGTCAACGAGGAGAACTTCAACCTCCACAAAAAATCCCTTCTTTCACACCTGAAATTGAAGTCAAAATGAATCAAAAAAGGAAAACCCATTAGAGTAAACTCAGTGAAAAGGCAATTGAAAAGCCCCAAGGTGCATAACCCAAATGGATTTCAAGAAGAACCACTCAAATAACGAGTTAAAATGCTCAACGCGAGACAGACCCAGTAAAACACAGAATCAAATAAAAATTACCAAAAACGAAAAGAAGAAAAAAAAAAAAAAAAAAAGAGAAGTAATACACTGAAAAAGGAACATACTCTAGTGACCAAAGAAGAAAGCTAAAAGTTTAAAAGTTACCCGAATGATTGTGTGAATGAGATTATGAGGAAGAGAGATGGAGAGTTTTTGCTTTACCGCTAAACAGTTAAAAGTACAGGTAAGGAGGTATAATAAAATGGCGAAGCAGACACGACTCAAGGGAAAAAGATTTGCGTGTCCCAAACTCCATGGAAGAATGAAGCTTTGTGGTTGCTATTTTTAGTGAGAGAGAACCTTATTTGAAGAACTTTTAACTCCCATAGCTTTGTTCGGTAAATGGAGACTGCAGAGATAAAATATTTGCTAAAAAAACTTTTCTCCCACCCTTCTGCTTTTGGGGGTTCTCCTCCCCTTGGAAGTATCATTTCCCTTGGTATAGAACCAGCGGTTTCGTTTGATGCACAGTGTCTGACCAAACTACGTCGTTTTACTCTTCTCCTTCTGTTCTTTTGCATGGCAATCATTACCTTCCCAGCATCGTTTTCTACAGTATCAACTCTCAAAATATCAAACCTCTGCTTCACTTAAATCCCCAAAAACAAAAAACAAAACAAAACAAAAGAAATTAAATAATAACTTTCCTCTTACTTTACAAGGTAAATCTCACAATAATTGTTTTATGTACAATTTCACTCATAAATGGAAATTATATTACTTTACGATAAATATTACTGTTTAAATCATATTTAATCCGGCTAAAACATGTTAAATTCGTGTAATTTATAAGCAGAGAATAATTTATTATACATCGTTACGTAAAAATTGAATAGAACAAATTTTGTTCGTAAATTATTCTTGTACAATAAAATTTTGTTTATTTTTTAAATTAATTAATTTTTATATCAGAATAAATCTTGATATATAATTAGAACATAAATTTAATCTATCTCTCGTTGAATTTCAAAAAAATTAATTCAGATGAAATCAAAAATTCTATGAATTTTCTACTTCCATTGCTTTTGTCTGTTTTATTTCCCAAAGTAATTTATTTGTATGAT